ACCCTTCTCTTTCTTGCTTAATCTTTGTCACCTGATCATAGAATTCTATCAAGCCTGTAAGGCAAGATTTACCCTCCCTGAACCCATGTTGATGGGTTGTCACGAAGTCTCTTCTCTCCAGATGTGTTACTAGGTTTTTTCTCACAATCTTCTCCATCACCTTGCATGGTATACAAGTTAAGGACACTGGCCTGTAGTTCAGTGCCTCTTGTCTGTCACCCTTTTTGTATATTGGTACTACATTAGCAGTCTTCCATATTTCTGGTAGGTCCGCCATTTCCAGTGACCTTCGTGACACTATGGAGAGTGGTAAGCAAAGTGCTCCTGCACACTCTTTCAATATCCATGGCGAGATTCCGTCCGGCCCAACAGCTTTTCTCACATCCAGCTCCAATAGGTGCTTCTTGACCTCATCTCTTGTAATTTCGAACCTATCCAAGGTCACCTGGTTTGCTGCCACCTCTTCTAGCGCCGTGACATCTCCCTGTTCTATTGTAAAGACCTCTTGGAACCTTTTGTTGAGTTCTTCACAAACCTCTTTGTCATTCTCTGTGTACCTGTCCTCGCCCACCCTAAGTTTCATCACCTGTTCCTTCACTGTTGTCTTCCTCCTGATGTGACTGTGTAGTAGCTTTGGTTCGGTCTTGACTTTATTAGCTATATCATTTTCATACCTTTTCTCAGCTGCTCTTCTCACACTGACATACTCGTTCCTGGTTCTCTGGTATCTCTCTCTACTTTCTGGTGTTCTGTTATTATGAAAGTAAATCCATGCCCTTTTGTTCAGCTCCTTTGCTTTCATACATTCCTTTTTAAACCACGGATTCTTCCTTTGCTTCTCTGTTTTTTCCTGTCGGGCTGGGACAAACCTGCTTACATCTTCCTGACATTTTTGGGTGACATAGTCCATCATGTCTTGTATAGACTTGGTTCCGAGTTCTGTGTCCCAATGTATATCCCATAGGAATTTATTCATCTCCTCATAGTTTCCCTTTCGATACGCCAGCCCTTTGTTTCCCAGTTCTTTTTTGGGGGTGATAATTCCCAGCTCAACCAGGTACTCAAAGCTCAATACACTATGATCACTCATTCCCAATGGGGCTTCCAACTTAACTTCCCTTATATCCGACTCATTTAGGGTAAATATCAGATCAAGCAAGGCTGGTTCATCCCCTCCTCTCATTCTTGTCGGTCCCTTTGTGTGTGTGTGTGTGTGTATGGGGATGTAGGGGGGCGGGTGGGGGAGGGGTGTCGGTGATGGGGAAGGGACTGGCTCACTCTGATAAGCCTAACACACTTGACCCAGTTAACCAGATTTGTTTCTTAAATTTAGGATGTTCATCATCATATATATTTTTGGTTACATATTTTGTTTAGTAATATTATTAAGGTAATAGATAGTTATAAAATACTTGTTTCATGAATGCTTTATTGTATTAAATGGAGATTCTCCAGGTTGTCTCAGGCTGGCTGGCAATCTACTGAGCCATATCCCAGAACGGTCTTGGGGGAAGGGGGAGGAGGGGAAGGGAGGCAGGAAGTGATGGTGTGGGGGAGAGCAGGAGTGAGAGAGTGGGGGGAGAGGTTCAGAGAGGGTGAGGGAGGGGATGATAGAGGTAGGCGGCATGCTTGTCATGTGAGGACCCCCTGATGCCAAAACAAACCCAATACCGTCCTTCAGTAATATCGACCACCAGACCGGTATATGAGGCTCTAGATACCGGTCTCCCAAACCGGTCGTTATTACTGGCAGATCGGTATAAAAGAGGCCGTTAAATTGAGTGGATACTGAGTGAAAGATATGGAAGAAAATGCAGAATAGAACTAGTGAAGAGCAGGGGGTGCCCCAGGCACAATCTGAGGACACTGTGTAAACATCAGAGGTCCACGGTTGTTCAACATCCTCCCAGCGAGTTATTTGAAATATTGCCGGAACAACCATGGACATCTTCAAGAGAAAACTAGATAAATTTCTCCAAGGAGTGCCGAACCAACCGGGCTGTGGTGGATATGTGGGCCTGCAGGCCGCTCCAAGCAACAGCCTGGTGGACTAAACTCACAAGTCAAGCCTGGCCTCGGGCCGGGCATGGGGAGTAGAAGAACTCCCAGAACCCTAAGTAGGTATCCAGCAGGCACTATATTAGAGAGATTTCTTCGGGAAGTCTCCAGGACTTGCCCAGAAACTGGCATTTCATTACATTCAACACTGGTTTATTACAATCAGTGTTTGGTTTTTTACTATGTTGATATATAAGTCCTATTGTATAATATTGTACATGTTGTTTAGTATCTGGAGTCAACTGTTATCATACTACTGTACTTCTTTTTCTCTTGTCTTTCACAGTAGCCTTTTCCACCGTTCTCAATCATGCTTCATAATTCATCTTTCTTAGTTCAGGAATCCATTTGGTTTCTTGTCTCTGGACATACTGGTGTTATATTTTGTCCATCTGTAGTGGTATGATGTATGTGTTTATTTATTTATTTATCTTTATTTCAGAAATGGTTTTGATTTTACAAATAATTTTGGTGGTGATAGGGACTGTGGTCTTTTCACACCACACCTCCATCCATTGTTTCCTGCTCATGTGAAGGAAGTCATACTAGATGGAGAGATGGTGGGCTGGAGCAAAATACACAACAGAATTGTTAGCAAAGGTAATTTTTACAATAACAGGTGCAACTGCTTGAAAAATAACTTTGTTTAATTATACAGTGGTACCTCGAATAACGAATTTAATCCGTTCCGGCGCCGTCGTCGTCATGTGAAATGGACGTTATACAAAACGAATGTTCCCATTGACATTAATGGTAATCAAATTAATCCGTTCTACCACCGAAAAACATCAATATGATATGCGATGTTTTAAATAATGAAGCAGCCTACCGTACATACACTGCACAAACCTTTATGACATTTTTCTTTCTTCAAATTTGCTCAATATTTATTTTTCATTTGTCTTATAGCAAAAGGTTCGTTCGGTGTTTGGCAGGTAGGCTTCTCCATATTTCTTACATAAAAACAAAACAAAAATAAAAACAAAAATGAAGAATTTTGAAAACCAGAACAAATGTCAAAAAGGTTCGTTCGGTTGTCTACAGGTAGGCTGCTCCATGTTTTTTAAATAAAAAAACAAAAAATAAAAAACCAGTTGAAACAATCTGGAAAATAGACAAATGCCATAAAGGTTTGTTCAGTGCTTGACGAGAAGGCTGCTCCATTATAATAATCTTTCTTTGTTTTCAAATGTGTTACATATGTTTTGTATTTTGCATTTATGTCTCAATAATGGAGCAGCGTACCTGACAAACACTGAACAAACCTTTATGGTATTTGACCCTTTTTCAAATTGTTTCAACTTTTTTTTTATTTTTCATTTTCTTTTTATTTAAGAAACATGGAGCAGCCTACCTATAGACAACCGAACGAACCTTTTGATAATGGTTCTGATTTTCAAAATTCTTCATTTTTTTTTTTATTATTTTTTTTTTATGTATGAAACATGGAGCAGCCTCCCTGCCGACCCCCAAACGAACCTTTTGCTATAAGACAAACGAAAAATAAATATTGAACAAATTTGAAGAAAGGAAAATGTCATAAAGGTTTGTGCAGTGTATGTACGGTAGGCTGCTCCATTATCGAGACGTAAATGACAAATACAAAACACATTTGAACACATTTGAAACAAAGAGTGTTATAATGGAGCAGCCTACCTGCCGAACACCGAACGAACTTTTTTGACGTATGTTTTTTTTTTTTTAGAAAATTTCATTTCCTTTTTTTACAAAAACATCAATACTTTGCAACATCTCAGCAGTCACCACTTTATATCCCAGCATCATTAGCATCTTAAACAAGAACAACATAATATATTTCCATCGGAGACGTCTAAGAATGTGCAAGAAGCAGTGCGACCACACCATGTAGTGTTGACGTTACTCAAACGAGCGTTCTCCATACGGGACGATTTGTCGCCGATCGGGCCGGTCGTTACCCAAAATGTTCGCCTTGTGGGGCGATTGTTATGCGAGGTACCACTGTATTTAGAAGTTTAGTATATATGAGATACTGTACTCAGTTTTGCGAGATTCTAGATATTTACCAGTTGCCTACATGCTAGCTTATATTAACCACTGTGTGTGCTGAGTTTATTGTGAAATTCCCCCTGTGTGCATGAAATCAAGTGTTCCCCAAAAATGATTTTTCTTATTAAAATGATGAATTCCCTTCCCTGAACATGTCTATGTAAAAACAAATGTCAAATTCCACTTACTTTGACCGTGAGGACATGGACAAGGTGCACTGTGACGTTATCAGGGGCTGGTCGTCTATGTGTGAAACTCACAAACACGGTCGCCCGGGTCATTTAACTACCGTGCTGCGCAGAGTTTATTGTGAAATTCCCCCAGTGCGCATGAAATAAAGTGTTCCCAAAAAATTCTTTTTTCTTCTTAAAATGATAAATTCCCTTCCCTGAACATGTCTATGTAAAAATAAATACCAAATTCCACCTACTTTGGCTGTGGGGATGTTGATAAGGTGCGCTGTGACGTCATCAGGGCCTGGTTGCCCATGCGTGAATCGCCCAGACACAGTCGCGCGGGCCATTCAAGCACCGGGTGTTGCCACAAATATATTTTCAGTTATTTGTTTTATGTATTTCCAATGCGGTTTTATTTTTTTTTTTTATCGTATATGATGCATATTTGTGCCCTTTACAATATGTCTACAGTAGAATGTTCATAATGTTCCATGGAACTGTGATACATGTGTAAATAATGTGTCCACAATAAATGTTTATTGTCGCAATATTACCTGTTAAAAATTCACTAAAATTATGATATGTACAGTTTCACACAATATTTACACAGTAACACACTGTATTACACACTCAGTACTTCGGAAGTGAGTAATAATCAACGAAGTAGCCCATGGTACACAGCGTGACTTCGCTCTCAGTGCACCAGGTACAGATAAATTTTCCCTTTATGTTTCTTCATTCATGCTTGCAAATCTTCATGTGTATGTTTCTTCATGTGTGCTTGCAAATAACGCACTCACGTACATCCTTGGCTCTAGTACCTGTAGGTTGTATGTAGCCAAGCTTGTAAAGCACAAGGTAGTATTGAAACGATTATAGGAAAAGCTCAATTTGTAAGGTAGTCTTGAAAAGATCGCTTTGTAAGGTCCCACACAGGAAGAGATTCAGCTAGCCTCAAAGAGTGTCCGTCAGTTAGTTAGAGATTCGGGTATTCTTGAAAATATCTATAGAAAACACCACCATGGAAGCCACTAACACTGTTCATCTATGCTATTTGTATCAAATGCATCATCACTGAACGCAGAAAACGATTCATCTATGTATCATCTAAATAAATTGTAGATAGCATAGGATTGCAAGGGTGACGCTCAGAGCTACAACTAGATACACTCTCTGTATCATCCTCATAGGTGCTGTATCACTTGCATCTGACTTTTGTGTTAGGTCCTTATTGTGACTAGCTTCACCAATATTATGACCCTTATGTTCTTCAAACAATAAGGTTTGAATTTCACCGACAGAGCGTTTTCTTTCAACACCGCGTCGGACAGGTGTTTGGGAGCCAGAGGCGCGTGCGCCACCCATGGTTGCTCATTCAGTACTAACCAAGCCAGCAGCCCTAGGGCATTCTGGGAATTTTTTCCAAGATGGTTGCCTCTCACTGGAGGTCCTAAGAGTCCATTTCGTACACAACCAACCTCGTACACATTTAGAATTGATACCGAAAAATCAAAAAGAGTTTTCTCGGTTGGCGCAGTTTTCCGCCGACCAAGAATACTCGGTTGGTGCAGTTAAGTGGTTAAGCACTGCGTGTTGCCATAAATATGTTTTCAGTTATTTGTTCTGTGTATTTCTAATGCGTTTTTTTTTTTTTTTTTTTATCGTATATGATGCATATTTGTGTCCTTTACAATATGTATACAGTAGAACATTCATAATGTTTCATGGCACTGTGATACAGGTGTCAGTAATGTGTCCACAATAATTGTTTTTTGTCGCAATATTACTTGTTAAAAATTAAACATAAATTACAATATGTACAGTTTCACACACTACAAAGTAAAAACATTGAATTACACACTCAGTAATACAAAAAGGTGACACCCCTAAAGTCAACAAATGCATCGAAGGAGCTCCAGCATATTTCAACAATCCTAAGTATTGTAGTACAGGTTAATAATAGTGAGTGGTGTCCCAAGGAACATAAATGTCGAGTGCTTTTGAAAAATAGGTGAGATAACACAAATGTGCTAAGGGAAGTGAAAAAATTGGATTAGAAAAAGTTGCCCTAGTGGTACAGTGCAGACAACAACATTCAAGATGGCTGCCAGAAAGAAGAAAAACAAAACAGTGCTTGATTTTTGGGGATTCAATTAAGAAAGCATTGTAACAGTCTAAAAACAAGTTGGCAAAATTAGATATTATAGTGAACTCTCTTTAGAAATAATAAGTAAATTGAAAGAAAGTAATGATCATTTGAGTAGCAAAGTTTTAGGTCTTGAGGGGTTAGTGAAAGACTTGTGCAAGGACAAGAATCAATTGGAAACAAATTGCAAAACCATGGAAGAGGAAAACAAACATTTAAAAATAGCTTTGGAAGAAGTTAAAGCAAATTTAAACATAAATGGCTACAATAGATTTGGTAAGGAAATTCAACAGGAAAACCAGCTTTTGTCAGTACAGATGGAGGAAGTTACACAGGAAATAAAACAGTTCAAGAAAGATATGCAACTCACTTATGCACAAGTGGCCAAGAAGAAGGAAAAAACTGAAGAAGCAGTAAAGGAAGCCAAACACTGTAGCAACCAGGATAAGATAAACATTTATAAGATAAAGCAGTCTCCGTGGTGTAGTGGTAAGACACTCGCCTGGCGTTCCGCGAGCACTATGTCATGGGTTCGTATCCTGGCCGGGGAGGATTTACTGGGCGCAATTCCTTAACTGTAGCCTCTGTTTAACGCAACAGTAAAATGTGTACTTGGATGAAAAAACGATTCTTCGCGGCAGGGGATCGTATTCCAGGGACCTGCCCGAAACGCTACGCGTACTAGTGGCTGTACAAGAATGTAACAACTCTTGTATATATCTCAAAAAAAAAAAAAAAAAAAAAAAAAAAATTAGGCTGGAAGTTGGAAAGAAATTGGCATCTAACCCGAAGTTGGTGCAAAACACAGTTAATCGGAGTAAGTCTCTGATTATTTTTGGTAGCAAAGAAAAGGAGATAACATCTAGGTCAAAAAGAGCTGTAGAAGAAGCGAAAGTAGTAGATAAAATTGTTGGCCTCGTGGAAGGTCTTACTACCATAGAGAATGTGTGTGACTACAGTAGAATAGGCCGGTACGTAAAAGAGAAAGATCGACCTCTGAGGATCACCCTGAACGGTGCCAAACAGATGGAAGAAGTACTAAGGAATGTTAGAAAATTACTAAGTGATGAGGATGGGAAAGTATGGTCGTTAAGACGAGATCTTTCAAGAGAAGACAGAGAGAAGCTTAAACTGAACCTCGTAGAGGCAAAACGTCTAAATGAGAGCAGAAACGAAAAAGAAATCGATTCTTTTCTGTGGGAAGCCCTTACGGCTCTCTGGAGCTTATTGGCTAATGTATGTTATATTAG